GTATACTTAGGAAAGCTTAGGTAATTCACAATCACTAGTCCAAAATATTTAATCATCTAAAACCTTATCTTTTCTTCTACATTCCCCAACAAAGATAGAATCTAAACCCTTATTTTTATTCAGTAGGATAAACATTATAGTTGTAGTAGACAGTATTAGTTCATTTGTATGATAACATAAAACTTTTTCGTGGGATCGAAATCCTCTCTTATCACTTTATTACTTGATCAACATGTGCACTTATGTATTTAGTGGGTACTGCATGTCAAAGAAAACCTAAGCATATTTTAGCTGCTATAATAAATATAATTCATGCACCCACGTAATGGCCCACATGATCACCAAATTAATAGACATATGTTGGTTAGAGTTCTAGAATCAGAAAGGACATGTAATCAATATAATTAAGTGTATCTTGGTTGAAAACTCCAACAAGCTCGATAAAGATGAAGAGTATTTATCATCTAATTCATAACAATAATATAGGAGGTATATCTTTTATATTCATGAGTTCTGAGCTGTCATAGGTTCAGAATCACTAAAATATAATTTCTTTTTGCAAACTTACTATATAACTTTCATTAGCACACTCTTTTAATTTAAATGATGATATAAATTAAATAATTTATATGAGTGGTAACATAGTGATATTGAGATTATCCTTATCATCGTGGGAATGACACTCACTCGCCTATATAGTACTTGACATGACATGTGCACTTGCATAATTTTTAGTGAACACCCTTAATTGACATAGAGTGTTAAGTTTGTGAATTCATATATAACAGATACATCATATACGTAATAATAATTCTAATATGATTTGATGTCTAGATATGCATGTGATGATATACTAACATTCCTGATAACATGGGTTGATCGTTATATCACATGTTATAATTGCATTGATATTCATGATGTCCATTCTTATTGACATGACCTGACCACAGAGTCTAAAAAATTATTTTTAATAAAAATATTAAAAACCATCATAATAAATCCCTGAGTGCCTTTAGTGTGGCATGATGCATACATGACAGTGTTTTTTTATCACACGATAATATTTAGTTGTGGAAACATGATGTTGGGTTGGCCGTAAAGAGGAAATAAATAGATATTAGGGTATAGAATGGAACTATCTAGACAGACATATAGACAAAGAATTACATGATTTCAGATGTCTAATTAAGGCTCTATAAGAAAGCTTGATTTAAAAATATGAGTGGAAGTCAAAGGTAATCCACTCCGTTAGTGATGATGGCACCATCAGCACAACTAAGGGTATATAACTTGAGTCAATAAGATGTTAGAGAAGCACATGAGAGGTCCATTGGTCTAATGATCTATTTTGAATATTATTATCACAATTGAAATACATTAATAAATATACTATATGATTGAATGATTAACATGTGTGTGTGTGAGGAAATGATTAGATTGATGTAATTGGTGTGACCAATGATAAGTAATTTTGCTATATTTATTAGTAATCCATAGTGAGAAATATCGAGGATAATATTTTTCTAATGTGGGTAGTTTATAATAGCTTCAAGTTTAATTTCATCAAATTATAGAAAATTGAGTAAGGAAGCATTGTAGTGCTAAGCCTACCAAACACTATGATGCTAAGCTCTTGAGTTTTTTTAAATTTGAGTGTGCACAATGACGTTGGGGTCTTAAGCATCATGAAATTGGGTTAGAAAAGTAATTTTTAATTAAAAATATAAAAAACCATTATAATAAATCCCTCACCCCATATCATGCCCTCCCATTCCTTTGCATGCCTAGTGAGAGAAGAGAGATGGAGGAGAGAAAGGAGGAGAGAAAGGAAGAGAGAGAACGAAAGAGGAGAGTAAAAGTGGGGATTGGGCTAATATTTTTCATCGATCTAGTTATAAGAAGTATTATAATCATTATAAACTACTTTAAACCTACCTCTCTTATCAGTGATTTTCAGTTTTATCTAATTTCTTTCTAAAAATTGATAAAAATATAATATATCTCATTCTAATGAACTTTCACCATATAACATTTGATAAATGTTAGATATCATCACCATGAACATTTTAACCAGTTTATATTTAGATTTCATCAGTTGATTTTGGATATATATCATTTTAATTGAAATAAGTAAATTAATATCAAGTACAAAATAATTATGAGTTAGTATATATTGTAGTTGGACATAAAATACATGATATGTTTTAATTCATATTGTATCCAGTTTAATGTGCATTCTAGCATAATGATGCATATTGATGAGCACCCTGGATGAATATACATGCTATGATTATTTTGTATGATGTGTACATGGTGCTTATTATTATAATTTACATGATATGAAATGTATGTTAAAGCAAGAAATGCTCGTTGAAAATGATTAATTAATTTAGGTTGGATTGAGACAAATTCTCTTATACAAGAGAGTGGACTGACAGGCTTTCCTTTAAATAAGATTTATGACGGAATTCTATATGATATAAAATGGGAAGTATAAGAAGATTAATTGACATGACATGACATGCCGACTAGTAAGAAGTGACAACTTCTTACATGAAATTACTTGACTTGTGATATGTGATATAAGACTAATTCTAGAAATAATATTGATATGATTAAGACTACTTCCTATTTGGTCGAAAGGGCCTACAGGACTTGAAACAAGAAAAATACCATAGGTAGCCAGATATATGATTGATATAAGGGCATATGACATACATGAAATGCATGAGAATACGACATATTACATTTGGTAGAAATACAAGATATGCATGCATTGAAATTGTATGATATGCACAAGACAAATGCAAGTATACTATATATATGTATATATATGAAATGCCATATATATTGAAGTAAAATATAATTTATAGAAATGCATATATTCATAACATAACAATTGCATTGCAACTTGGCATGGGTATAGGAATGATAAAATATATCAATCTTTTATCGAGTTACTAATTGTTAAATTTGAGAAATATTATTTTTATTGATTCTCGTTGAGCATACGGATGAAACTGATTATGTTGACTCAACTAGTTATTACTGTTATGTGATTATATTGACATGCATATTATTTATATTGCTTTGCATTAATTATAGTGGTAGGTTATGGTAATCTATTTAGCTATTAGCTCACTATATAATTCTTACATATTTTTTAGGAATGGGTCAGGACGTAGTGGAGTGTGAGGCTAATATGATCCTAAAATTTTATATTTAATTTTTTGTATTTTATATTTTATTCTTTTATAGCAAAAAATTTTAAAGAAAAGACTGACATACATATTTATTGATTGAACTTGCAACTATTATAAATGAAATTTAATGAAAGTTTTGATGAATATGATTAATTTCATTGGCTTTATTTAATAAATAAAAAGTAGTGGCTTTAATGGACATACATAAAACAATGCCCTAAATAGAGTATGAATTTAATACTATAGTTTTGGTTATTATAATAAAAAATAAAAAAATAAAAAAGTTTTGGTTATTATTGCATATGACACATGTACATATGATTCTACTATAATGATTTTGATCATGACTGCAATCTATATGATAAATATATAAGAGTAGCATAGAGAGACATTGATTCAGCACATAACTGGCTTTTATGATTCAATTAATGATAACATGCATATTATTCTACTACATTATATTAAATACAAGGATAGGTCATGTATAAGCTACTGAGTTGTTCGTTCATTCTTTATGTTTATATGTATTAGGAAAGGGGAAGTCTCTAATATAGTGAGTTAGAGGTGTTGATGTTAAAGATATTTTATTTCTGATGTTATAATTAAATTCTTTTGTAATCATAATATTTGTGTATTGGGTGAGATGCTTGAAAAAAAATCATGATTATTGTACAAAATATTTTGATGTAAATAAATCTGAGAAGTATAAATTGTTTTTTGGGCATATTAATGATTTAGTGTCTCTATTGTTAAAATTGAATTTGGAAAAAAAAAATCTTTCCAATTAGATATTAGGCAACTCATCTATCACGAATCTGACTCAATATGACCTGTTAAGATATAGTGATATATTAGGTTGGGACTTGATACCAATAGCATATGCATCCACTTGAATGGTCTAATGGAAACCAAGAAATGTAATTGCATTATATGATATCATTTATAAGATATTAATGTAACATTTTGCTCTTTTAAAGTCATGTTTAGAATGCTTTTGATTTTTGTTTTATTAAATTTTGGTTGGCATTTCAAATTTGTAAAAAATTCTAAATTTTATTTTCTTTGTTAATCTAATTATATCTTACATTAATAAAATCTTAATTTGAAATGTAATAATAAGTAATGACCGCATTTTCCAATTTCCTTGCGACACAACTCTTAAGAAAGTCATTCCAACCTCATTGATCCAAAATTGGGACCCACACCCAATGAGAATGGTCCAAATAGTTGGTCGCGAACTCGCGTTCACTCTCACCCTTGCAGAGATATTTTCGCGCTCGGTACAACAGCTGTCAAGTTGCGATAAAACCACGGCAAATTAATTTGAGCGATAAGTAGATAAGCATGTTAAAAACACCTGCAAACAGACCCATCACACTCTCCACTTATGAACACGAACCACGTGTACATATGATAGAGCTGCATCTATGTGGCGCGCGGTTATAATTGTATGATCAATTAAATCGGTCCCTCAACATCGCTCAATTGTTCCATCAAGAGGACCCCAAATGCAAGTCGTCTGGTTCAAATTCACGCGAAATCCAATCGAAACGCTAAATTCACATCGGCGAGGCAAAAGGAAAAGCGCCGGAGCATCGGTCCAATACTCGATGAACGCCACGTGTTTGAAAGGCGGATCATCACCGTCCGTGACAGATCGGACTGGCAGGACTTCGGGTAGAAGCAATAAGATCAAAGCCGTTGGATTTTACATCCGGTTTGAATAGACGGCCAATGATCTGCCCGTGATGAGGCCGGTCAGATCTCATTGCTTTAAGAGGCGGTGTACCCCTTCCAATTTTCTCCACACCAATCGCTTAAGAAACGAAGGGTTTCTGTATCCTTTATGAAGGAACCATCGATCGCCTCCATCTTTTCTTCTCCCTCTCGCAAAGATCGACGGCCTACTCCTTAATTGCCGGTTGCCGGCCGGCTTCTACTCCGGCCGTTGAGTACCAAATACAGGCCTAGCATAGGTTGGGGTTGCTCTAGATGAGAATCTGGCTGTTAACGGTGTTTATGATCGCCGGATCCAGCCCGGTCTGAGAAGCCGCCGATTCCTTGCATGGCCTCGGCTATCCTGGCAAGCCGGAATGAGTCGTATTGGGGAGAGCAGAAGGTTTATATGAAGAAAAACCCTAATTCTAATCATAGCCCAAGGCTTTTTCCCAACGCAAACCCTAACCCTAACCCTAACTCTAACCCTAACCACATACCCTATCCTAACGTCCGAGGCGGCTATGAAACTAATCAACGCAATGAGAAAGATGACGCCTTTGTTGCGGCAGGACCTGCCTTTTCTGAGGATTCCTCCTCATTTAACTGGGAACCAATCAGCCGGGCTGTTGAATTTGGAGGCGCTTCTGCTAACTATGTCAGTTTCAACATCTCGAGCTTGTCAAAGAAAGATCTACGGGATTTGAAACGGAGGCTGGTTTCTGAGCTGGAGCAGGTCCGAAGCGTCACAAGCAGGATTGAATCACGAGAGCTCCAATCCTCGGCTAGATCTGTGGGATACTCTGCTTCTGGGATCTATTGCAGCAGCCGTGAGGTCACATCCCCTGCTGCACTTCAGCAGAACCATCTTTCCCAGCCTGGGTCTTTCAGCGAAAAGGAGGTCAAAGTTTCAGAGGCCAAAAGGGCACATCTGTCTCCGCTGCCCAACAAGGAATTGTTTGGGATGGCAATGTCGACTCTCTCTCCAAGAGCTGCGTTGGATTCCAAGAATCTTCTTTCAGCCATTATGAAGAAGTGCACACAGATCCTGGCAAGGCTGATGAAACATAAGGGAGGTATGTGGTTTAATTCCCCGGTAGATGTGCAGGGGATGGGATTGCATGACTACCGGCTGATCATTAAGCATCCAATGGACCTTGGGACAGTTAGATCCAAGTTAAAAAATGGCTTGTATAAGACACCCTTAGATTTTGCAGAGGATATCAGACTGACCTTTAACAATGCTCTTATCTATAATCCAGAAGCTCATGAGGTACATAAATTGGCAGCAATGCTTCTCCGTCAGTTTGAGGGTCTTTTTGGACCAGCATATGCCAAGTATGAAAAGCAGCTGGTTGGCATTGCCAAGCAAATGGAAGAGAAGCAGCTGTGCTCTTCTTGGAACCCCCACCCGGTTTCTGAGAATTCAATGAGAGCAGATTTGAGACCTGTTCTATCTCCTCCACCAATTCGATCGCCGGCTCCTGTTCACCCGCAGCAGCGAATCCATTCTAACCAAGTTGGCTCGGCTTCTTTATCATCACCTCACCATCTTCAACCACCGCAGCAGCAATATCCCATCACTGCTAGAACGATAGGAACAAAGCTACCAAAGCCCAAGGCCAAAGATCCAAACAAGAGACCTATGAGCTTTGAAGAGAGGCAAAAATTAAGCTTTGGGCTACAAAGCCTGCCAGAGGAGAAAATGAGTCAAGTATTACAGATTGTCAAAAAGAGAAATGTTGACACTCAACAAGATGGCGATGAGATTGTTCTAGACTTCGAGACTATGGATACAGAGACGCTTTGGGAACTGGATAGATTTGTTTACAACTGCAAGAAGACGCTGAGCAAGATCAAGAGGCAAGAAGCCTTAGCTGGAAACATCGTCTCTTCTGCTCCAACCTCATCAGCTGCCCAACCATCAGTTCCGGCTGATGCAAGCCACAAGGTACTCCAAAGTTAAATTAATTTATGAACAAATATTTATTAGCTATATTTCCTTAAAATCTATTTTGTGATTGCCAGTCACCTATTGCCGATGACACAACTGCCAAGAGGTGCAAGAAAGGTGATCCTGTTGATGAGGATATTGACATTGGTGAGGAGATGACATCGACCAATTATCCATCTGTTGAGATTGAAAAGGATGATGGGCATGCCAGTAGCTCCAGCAGTTCTGGCACCGATTCCTCTTCTTCCAGTGGTAACTTGATTTCAGAAACAAGCTTCTTTTTCTTTGAACAATTGGTTTGTGGACATTTTCATAAGCTTTGTTTCTGCAGATTCAGATTCGGGGAGTTCATCTGGAAGTGATTCTGATGATGAAGATGGGCGCTCGCCAGTTAGACATTCTGGATCTTGTCCGCCTAACTAACATAGGTAAGCATGCTGCCATTAGGACGATCTTATAAAGTTTCTCTCTTTTTTTTGGTTTTGTTTTTGGAGGGGGGGGATTTGTGGCTCTATGTTCTGGTGTTAACGTTAGCTCTTAGCTAGAGATTTGGGTAGATAAAGTTTGAGTAATTGATGTTTTCACTTGTGTATCTTATGATGTAAAAAGAAAGAAGGAAAAAGTGAAAAGAAACGGCTAGGGTAGCTCTGTGTTTTTCTGAATTCCCCTCTTTTTGCTTACAGTGTAGCTTTTCTATAACTCCTGAGCTTAATTGATTGAAGCAACACTGTGTGGCTTATTGTGACTCTGGTTATCTTATTGATTTGTGTTTGTTCTTTGTAAATATATAATATAATATAATATAGCATTTGGGGAATTAGTTAAAATGTGTATTATATTTTATCTTAGATTAAATGAGGTTTATTTATTTTTGGTTCCGTTGGAGACTTGGACGAAGCGCTCATGTTTACTATATAATATGAAAAATCAATCTCCGTTAGTGCTTTATGAGCACGTCGGGTCCATTCGGGTTTGAAGCTATAATATAATAAAATTTTGCTGTTTCCTGATAATAATCCTCTTTTGGGACATTACCCATTTTACATTCAATTTGGTTATTTCATCTAAATTTTTGGTTATTTCATCTAAATTTTTTTTTTTTTTTAGTAAATGAGTTATACATTAGGACGATCTTATATAGTTTTTTTTTAGCTTGACTTGACTCGTTTAGGTGTTGATGGTGATGAGCTTGAGCTATGGTTGAAGGTGATAATGATGAAATATAGTAGAGGTCATTGGTCAATCCATAATGGTCATCATCGATATGCAGTTGTGTTGTGATAGTGGAGTCAATGATTCATTTCAAAATAAAGTAAAAATTGATGAGTTTATAATATATATTCAAAATAAAAATTAAAAAATTAATATTTAACTAAAAAACTATATAAATTTTTAATGAATTTTTTTAATCAGCTAATTAAAAATGAATTATTTAGTGGATTAAAATTTTCATTAAGTTTTATTTTGTCTTTTTAATTAAATTATTATATTTGGAATATTCGGAACTATTTTTATTAAATTTAATATCCTCTTAATTATTATTATTTTTTTTTTGTAAAATATAAGGTTTTATAGTCTGTACTTAGGTTTAACATGTTATTTACATGGTTGCAAATATTCTTATATAGGAGTGTCTTTTTTGGCTCACAGGTTAAGTTTGGGTCGAATCCGAAATTGACTCGGCATTATTCAGGTCAACTCGAACTATTCTCCTTTTTGCAAATGGGTTAGTTTTATGACCCAATGCTAATAAAAAACTATTAGTTTTCGGGTCCAAAATTTGTCAATATCCATTTTTTGGGTCAATTTTGGGTTTCCCAGGTCAAGATGAGTTTTCGAGTCAATTTTGGGCCAATGGGTCAACCTAAATTCGACCCAACTTTTGAAACGGGTCAAATTGTTGAATTCAAATTCAATCCATTTTGGGCTTAGGGTCAACCAAAACTCAAAATTTTAGGTTCGGCTTCGATTTAAATTTTCGATTGGGGTTCTACATTGACACCCCCTACTTACATACTATAAAATATATTATTATTATCATAAAAATAATTCTTCATATTGTTCCAATGTCCCTGGGCTTTATTTACTTGGCGGGCCCCAAGAAAGGCTTGGAATCATTAGCGACATGATAGATTAGGGGTGAATATCATGTGTCATATCACGTGTCGTATGTTTGTTTTTATTTTTTGTTTATTATTATAACATATTTTATGTTCGCAAAAAAATTTATAACATATTTTTATTTTCTCTATGCTTGTTTGGAGTAGAGTTTTGCTGATTGATATGATGTGTTCATTGCATTATTATGATGACTCTTTTATATTATTGTTCTGATAAATAATTGCTTTTTTAATGAAGTGGTGGTGGAAGCAAGATCGATCTACTCTTGATTGTTTAGGAGGGTTTACTCTCAGCATCATTTTTGGTATTGATATATCATTCATTAAATTTTATGTGAATCTGTCATATGGCCTGGCCTTCTTTGAACTCATGTCCATTCATTTATTGCAACTTTGTTGAATTATCTTATGTGACAAGACTAGCTTTAAGCACCAACTAAAAAAACTTATCTTGGGGCTGCGAGCTATTATGATGATCAGATACTCAAGTTGTTTACTCTTTTCAATCCAAGGATATTCGCAAAAGTATAAATTTTGATGGCGACCAACAAAAGATAACACTGTAAACTTTGATTATCTCATCTATTATCTCGCCACTCAAAAATGATATTTTTATGATAAAAAAGCATTGAATATGTCAATTGTTTTCTATGTCGATCAACACCATCATTGTTATAATTCCATTTCTAATTTATAAAAGGAGCGGTTCGTGCAATTATAAAGCTTTAATTGGAAGACAGTGTTCAGGAGTATGTTCTTTGATAATTTGTCATCCATCATTTGTTGTTCATTGATTAGGGTTTAAGATCAATAGAATAAGGTGTACTGCTTGTCAACACTAAGCTCGCCATAATAAGATGTAGTGCTCGCTGGAATAAGATGTATGTAATCCATATTATGTACATTTTATCTTTTAAGGTGAAATTCTCACTCTTTTAGATGGAGGTTGAACAACATAAACCATTATAATCTGCTCCCTCATTTATTTTAGAAAGTCATTGTCATCTTAAGCTTTTACTAACAGTTTCTTATTCTTTTTTTTCTCTTTCCTCTAGGTAAACAAATATTACTTGATTAAAACTAGTCAGGAAAATTGCAAGGAGCAACACCTTATTAAATGATATAAAGCGGAGAGAGTAGATAATAAACGAGTTTTATGGAGTGAATGCACTAAAATGGTTGACGCATTCAATGGAATGCCAAAATGTTTGGCGCAGTTTGAATGCGCCAAGCATTTTGGCACAGTCCATTGATTGCAATATTTAGTTGGCACATTTCGCACGAGTCATTGACCATATCTGCAATTTTCATTCCAGATTCGAAAAAATCGCGCAAACAAAAATTGTGAGCAGGCAAGGTCGAGAGGAAGGTCTCGCTGCTTATTTAAATTCTAAATCAGCAAGCCTTAAGCATGCATCAAATTCATCAAGTGTGAGAGCTTTTTGATATGAGAGGTTAGTCAAATTGAATAGTTTTAATTTAGATTTTTGTTATATATTAGATTCTACATATATTCTTGATACGTCATAAAAAATCGTCTTGATCAAACATGAATCTTGAGTTATATTCAAGTTGTTATCTTTTAGAATTAAATTTAGGACCATCCAAACTTCAATTTCAACAAACTCGCAATCAAATTGAACATCTCAAAAAGAAAAAATCGAAAGACATAAAAAATCTATTCACCGAGCCCAAATGGGCCTAAATCAAGGGACGAAGAATATTTGAAAGTTTAAAGCATTAATTAAATGATCAAATGATATTCAAATATGACATTTTTATAATCAAATCGAGTGTCTCGATGAGAGGAATCAAGTGAGCTTAAGATTACTTTATTCTGAGATCATTAAGAAACTTAAACTTTGAATTTACCTTGGATCTTCTCCATATTTATGGAACATGCCACTGTCAAAATAAATGAATAGCCCCCCTTCTTCCCACATGAAAAGGAGATGGAAATTTTGGAGGCTTAGATATTGAACTAGAGATTCAAGAGAACTCTCGAACAATCTAAGCGCTCCATCTCAGCAGCACCGCCGGTGAACCCTCGCCACCAAGCCGCCGTTATTGGACCTCTGCTTAACCAATGTCGTTAGAGCTTTGTCTCGTAGCCACCACTGAGCCTTCATCTAACCTCCATCATCGGCCAACTATGAACCCTTAGACCATCATTGCCTGCAGATAATGGTTTCTTTGACATCCATTGCTTGCAGGCTATGGTCCATCCGACCAACATCCTTTTTGAATTTATTCCCTCCGCCCACCATCGCCCACCGACTACGGTCCCTCCAACCTGTGTCACCCACCAAATATGATACTTGGACCACCGTCTCCTGCCAACTAAAGTCCCTTTGACCATCGTTGTACACTAACTACGGTCCCTTTGACCTCCGTCGCGTGTCGACTTCAATTCCTCCAACCTCCATCGCACGCTAACTACAGTCCCTCCAACCTCCATTGCGTGCCGACTACATCCCCTCTGACCTCTATCGCTCATCTACTCTAGTCCCTTCACAACAAGGGTCCCTTAGACTACTATCGCCCGTAGATAAGCGTCCCTCCAACAATAGTGACCTGTCGACTATAGCCTTCTAACCACTGTCGCCACCCATACTAGGGTCCCTCTAACCACCATTACCCATTCAATAAAGTCACTCTGACCTCTGGCTCCCATTGACTACGGTCCCACCAACCTTTGTCACCCCCCCAACTACAATCCCTCAGAGTAATGCGCCAATTGACTGTGGTACCTCTGACATCCATTGCTCTCCAACTAAAATCCCTCCAACCACTATCACCCATTGAATATAGTCTATCCAACCACTGTTACCCACCGATTATATTCCTTTCAACCATAGACGCCAACTGACTACAATTCCTCATATCACCATCATACTACGTTGCTCGCCGACTATGGTCCTTCCAACCTCCATCCCCCGTCGACTACAATCCCTCTAACCTTTATCGCCCGTTGCATAACTACCATTTATCCCACCATCATCGCCATCTGATCAAGGTCCATCCAACCAACATTGCCAACCGACTACGTTTCCTCTAACCTTCATCGCCTGTCGACCATGGTCCCTCTGACCTCTATAGTCAACCGAATACAATCCCTCCCAATATTGTTGCCCGACGACTACGGTCCTTTAAAATTTCGTTGCCCTCTGTCTATAGTCCCATTGGCCTTTTTCACCCGTCGACTATGATCCATTTGTCCACTATCACCCATCAACTAAGGTTCCTACGGCCTCCATCGTCTGCTAACTATAGTCCCTTGGATGACCATCGCTCGCTGACTTTGGTCCTTCGGACCATCTTTGCCCATGGATTAGGGTCCACTCGACCTCTGTAACCTACCGATTATGGCTACAATAAGAGTTGATTGTACATTACGACTTTACAGCTCAGCTACTATGATAGGTTGCAGCGAATAATAACAACAAATTAATGAACAAGAAAATAAAACATACATGATCCTGAACTTTGAATGATAATTTGCCAAGAATCCAATTCCATGAATAGTTCCAGCATTCAATAAATAACTTTTGAACAATTTTTATATCTTATTTTTCAAATATCATCTATAAAATTATAAAATATACTTACTGAATATTACCATATGTAATAATTAAGTTA